TAATCACCTGGTCGATCTGCATTTGCTGCTGCTGTTGTGCGGAGGGCTGGCTGGCTGCTGAGGGTTTCTGGGAAGGGTGACACAATCTGAATTCTGAGTCACAGAAATTCCCATCCCCCTCCACATTATGGAGACTCTCCCACACCACGCTCTCCTCCTGCAGGAAGCCCTGATCTGTGACCAGCAGGTAAAGGTGACCCTGCAAATTAACACATTGAACATACTGATCACTGGTCAGCAGACCAAATAACAGCGACAAAGCCATTTGAATTTCAAATGCATCTCAGTAAGCAATTCAGTGAGGTTCAAGTACCATTATCATATTGACATACAACCTGAAATGTGTTGCTTTTATGCAACATGTGACATGTGATGTTTGCACACAAGGCATCATCTAATTAATTGCACTTTAACATTTTTTCAGTACAAAAATCTGAACAATATGAAGATTGTGGTTTCATTTTTTCTAACATAGACTCAAAGTTTTTTGGATATATTTTTTCTATAAATCAGAAACAGCCAGAAAAACAAATTTTCACTGTTTTTTGAGGAATAAAATGTTAAAATCAGGTCAATTATACATTGATAAACCTCTCTGTAAAAACCTTAAGAATAGAGATTAAACTGTCATTTTGGTGTAAGTGCAACAGAAGTGGAGATTTTTGGCTCAGTGCAGAAGAGAAAAAGCCTTTTCAGAAATCTTTAAAGAGATGCAAATAGATAAAGTGCAATAAAGTGGTGTATTTTGGATGTTTTCTTTGTATATAGTCAGAAACATCCCTTTATGAAAAGCCAAATTGCATAAAAAAAACAGCGTTTTTGCCTGTAGTATCTTGCCTTAACTTAAAATAGGTTTATAATAGCAAAATCTCTGCATTAAAGTGCATCTTTCTGCTCAAAATGTGAGCAAAATGCATTTACTCAAGCTGAATGTTTAACTTGGGCTCAAAAAACTAATTTTTGCTATAAAAATCTGCCCCAAAATCTTCTTTTTTTTTTTGGTGGTGGTGGTGGTGGTGGTGGTGGGGGTGGGGGTTAAGTCAGTGGCTTCCAGCAACTCCAGCAACTCAAACATTCTTCAAAATATTTTCTTCAAATTTTTTCTATTGAACAGATAAAAGTAACATGTTTTCTTTGTATATAGTCAGAAACATCCCTTTATATCATCCCTTTTTTTTTGGTGGTGGTGGTGGGTTTAAAGCGGCTTGACGTCGCTGGGGTTGTTGTAATCAGCTTAGCTGCTATGGAGAGTGTTGGTGTGGGAAGGCTGCTAAACACCTTGTGCTTTATCATAGTGCTGAAGTGGTTGTTCCTGAAAAATACAGACAGTTCTCCTTCCTTGGCTGTCGTGTTGAGCTCACACAGGCCGTGATACGACAGCTGGGTTGCTGTGGACTCCAAGAATTGCTCTGCTATCAAACCTGTCAACAAACAGACATTAAGATTTACTATCAGCCATTAATACAATGCTGAGGAGTCCACACACCTGTGATATACAATATCTGAGCCATTTGTGTATAAGAAATAACATTAACTGTACCTTCACTGACTTGACTGCTATGAAGAAACTTTTCTTGTTTTTATCAATGTTAAAAACAGCTAAAATATTATTGACCATTTTTTGCAGGATTCTTTGATGAATGGAAAATAAAAAAACAGCATTTATTTAAAATGGAAATCTTTGTAACAAATGTCTTTACCATCACTTTTCGTTCGTTTAATGTATCCTAATTTCTTTTTCAAAAAAAATTACCCCAAACTTTTGCATGCTTATGAAAATTCCTTGTCTGAATAAAATCAGAGACTTTGACGCATTGGGATTTTTTTCCCCCTTTAAATCTGGAAAAATTATTTTTAAAGTTAAATTATGAAATAAAAAGAGTGACACTTTAATTCTCTGAATCCAAATGTGCATACATTTGTGACATTGATCATGTCTCTCTTTGTACAGCCAGCCAGATGTTCCGTCTTCAATTAAAGCACATATGCTCTTTTATTTATGATCATCAGGTTTGTATTAGACAAAAATGCAAAATAGAAGCATTTTCACAAAAGCTCTCAGATTTTGGAGCCCATTGTGCATGTGCTTATGATAACACTAAACTGTGTATGTGTGCAAAATGATTTTGATGACTGCACAAAAAACGCTGCACTTAAGTTTCTTTGTGTAATACCAATATTCCAGACGTTTCATAAATCAATGGCCACACATTTCCTGTTAACAGAGGTGGCTTTTATTAGCTCAGCTTACAGGATCCAGGGAGCTCCACGGAGCCCTGTGTACTTAGTGTACTGTACATCACTTTGGATGAAAAGCCGATGACAAGTAACTATGTACAGATCAACTTGAGACAGTAGCATTTCAGTGTAATATTAAATTCTTATTACAATACCTGATTATTTACCATTACAGTCTTCAATCTTTAATGGCATAGTTAGGAGCTCAAACAAACGCTCATTAGTGCTTGGAAACAATTGCTACCTTTATTTGGTCCAGTAGACAACGATGAGCAACAGTTCCAACCATGAGGATAAAGGAAAGGCGAAAACGAGGGGTCAACTGTACTGTAAAGGCAGGCTTGGCATTGGGACGACAGGTCTGCTAAGAGTGAAGTCCCATGTTTCAGTAGTGGTACAGAAGAAGCTGAACTGGATTTGAGAGTCTGGTTATGGTGGTTAGTGGACTTTGACCTAAAGAATACAGCAATCCGAGTCGTCCTTCTTTTCCCGGCGCCTCTGTCCTCCGTGCGGAGACGCGGCCTGACCTCTCATCTGCAGGGATATGAAGAAAGAGTTCAGTTTCAGTAAGTCTTCTTTCTGAATTTTGTCACTACACTACTGCAGAAACCTTTCACTGAGTGGGGAAAGTTTACAAAGGGCATCTGACAACAGCTTTAAGCTTTTTAAAGGAATAGTTCTTTAAAACTTTCTTATGTATCTTCTTGGAACCAGTGGAAGCTTTTTTTTGGGAGCGATTTTGTTTTTTTTCCCCCTCAGGAAAAAAAAAAAAGAGAGTTTACAATCTCACAATATAGACATTTTTTTCAGAATTTTGAATTTACATTTTGCAATTTTGACTTTTTTTTTTTTTTTTTTTTTGTAAGAAAAAGTTTATATCTCGCAATTTTGACATTTTTTCAGAATTCTTACATCCAGCAATTCTGTTTTTTTGTTTTGTGATTGTTTCTGCTACGGAATTTAATTAAAAAGGGTAATTGTGAATGTTTAATCGCACAATTCTTTTTTTATTCTTTTCTTCTCAATTTCTTTTCTCAGAATTGTGAGGACAAAAGACAAAATTGTGAGAAGCTGGAAAAATTCTGTATTTCAACAGAATTGTGAAAGAAAAAGTCTGAATTATTATAATTTTTTTAAAATCCCATTGCAGAAACAAGCTTCCCTACCACATCATCACAGACACAGTTCATAGAAAATTCTTCAAAATATCAGAAAGAATCATAACAGGTTTGTAACGACATGAGGGTGAGTAAATGATGACAGAATTTTCATTTTTGGGTGAACTACACTACCTTTTAAAAAAAAAAAAAAAAATTTTCCAGCAACAATACATTAAAATGATCAAAAGCAACAGTAAAGACAATGTTACAAAAAGTTATATTTAATCTATTTCTATTTTTCTATTCATCTGGAAAAAAAATTAAGCAGCACTCTTTTCAACACTGATAATGAGAAATGCTTCTTGAGAACTAATATTAGAATGATTTCTGAAGAATCACGATGCTGAATCCATCACAGGAATAAATTACATTTTAAACTGTTAACATAGAAAACATTTCTGTTAAATTGAAACGAGTAAAACAAATGTGTGTAAATCATTCATGAATCTACTCTTTTGTAAATCGCTGCACTGTATTGAATACAACGGTTTCTAAATGATTTACTCAGGCATTCATTCTGCTAGGGTTTCATGAATAAAGCCAATTTAATCTCAAAGAATGCTTCCCTGAAGTTTCATGCACAAGCGTTTCCTCCGGAAGGGAAGACAGGAAGTACCTGTCCTGCTGAGGGCTGGTGCTGTTGTGTTTGTGGCTGCTGGTACTCCTCCTGCTGCAGCTGTCTGGCCAGCTCAAGATCACTCATGGGTCCAGGAGCTTCACCCTGCTGCTGCTGCAGGGACATCGCCACCAGATAGTCCTGGATAACACATCCAAACATTCACTGAATCGATCTTAAACCAATGTTGGGATACATTCCAACATGAAACAGCTTTCTCAAAGCATTTAACTTAACATAAAATGACCTATTTCTGAGTGAAACTGCATAATCGTTGGGTAAGAATGTAGATTTGTTTTGCATTGGGATGTTAAGGCTGTGATATTCTTGGTTACTCTTACACCTATATGATAGGAAAAAGCAGGCAAAATCATAATCTCCTGGTCGATCTGCATTTGCTGCTGCTGTTGTGCGGAGGGATGGCTGGCTGCTGAGGGTTTCTGGGAAGGGTGACACAATCTGAATTCTGAGTCACAGAAATTCCCATCCCCCAAATACAGACAGTTCTCCTTCCTTGGCTGTCGTGTTGAGCTCACACAGGCCGTGATACGACAGCTGGGTTGCTGTGGACTCCAAGAATTGCTCTGCTATCAAACCTGTCACCAAACAGACATTAAGATTTACCATCAGCCATTAATACAATGCTGAGGAGTCCACACACCTGTGATATACAATATCTGAGCCATTCGTGTATAAGAAATAACATTAACTGTACCTTCACTGACTTGACTGCTATCTGTCGAGTGCTTGAAATCTATGATCTTCTCCACCAGTTGGTTGTAGCTGAGTTTGCCCACTGCAGACACCACCTCAGGACTCTGAAGCAGAATGGAGCACTTGTATTGTTGTTTGGATACACAGAATTCACACGTTATATCATTTTTCTGCTGACGTACCTGTGGGTCGACAAGCCAGCCGTGGTAGAGCAGAATGTCAAGCAAATCAAAGACGATGCACTCAGGAGTGTACTCAAAATCCGACACACCTGTAAAACGCACATTAACGTCGAGGCCTGTGGACAACTTTGGCAGCACAGCCATCGTGTCGCTCATGTTCTGTGAAGGGAATGAGAAATGCAATTAAAAACAAAATCTTCGGAGACAAAAATATACACAAATGCATACAGGCTAATTTATGACGGTTATGTTATTGGCCTCAGCATCTGATATATTGAGATATTTGGGTCAAGTGGAAGATAGTATGAGTAATATTTACCACAAAACATGCTGACTGCTCTGACTGACTAACCTATTAAGTTGAAATCACAAAATTGCATTAAGAAATTATTTAATTAATTACAGTTCAAAAGTTCTTTCTAATTCTTTCTAAAAGTTATTCTAATTTGCTGATTTGGTGCTCAAGAAACATTTCTTATTATTATTAATGTTCAAAAGTTTTTATTTGAAATATAATTTTTTTGTAGCGATATAAATGCCTTTGCTGTCACTTTTGACAAATTAATGTCAACCTTGTTGAATAAACATATTAATAAAAAAAAAAACTAAAAACCTTGATTATTTTTGTTTGCAATTCTCAAGACAAGCCAATAGCAGACTGTATAAATAATAAATTATAATCTGAAATATTCTAAAAGAAATCATGTATACATTTTTCATTTATTATTTTCACCTATATTATAAAAAATATGAATTGAAAAAGATTAAACTAAATATGAGAACATTAGCATTATCTTGCATAAGCTTCGAATCTAATCCATTTAATTTTCAGTCGTGAGCAAAAAGGAACAGCAAGGGCACATGAACAAAAGGAGGCTTTCATTTGTGCATCTATAAGCACAAACACACGTTGTAATTGTTGGAATTGCTAATGAAGGGATCACAAGCCTTCGTTCACAGATTGAAGACCTCATTCACAATATCTGATTGTATATGTCTTTTGGTTCTGAGGTTTCCAGCGCAGCCCAGCTGCTTAACATGTTAATTATATTCACTAGACATGTGCAGAGCTGAGCCTGTTACAATGGTTCTCCCATACTACGATTTACCTGCTGGAAATTGAGCTCCATGCCTTCTGCTTTCTCCCGCGGTTTGATGGACAGCACACATTCACCTAGAACGAGAAAAAGTTGGGCTTAAGCATTTCAAAAACACTTCAGCTTTCTGCCAAATTTGCATTGGGATGTTAAGGCTGTGATATTCTTGGTTACTCTTACACCTATATGATAGGAAAAAGCAGGCAAAATCATAATCACCTGGTCGATCTGCATTTGCTGCTGCTGTTGTGCGGAGGGCTGGCTGGCTGCTGAGGGTTTCTGGGAAGGGTGACACAATCTGAATTCTGAGTCACAGAAATTCCCATCCCCCTCCACATTATGGAGACTCTCCCACACCACGCTCTCCTCCTGCAGGAAGCCCTGATCTGTGACCAGCAAGCAAAGGTGTGGAAGATAGTATGAGTAATATTTACCACAAAACATGCTGACTGCTCTTAGCTAACCTATTAAGTTGAAATCACAAAATTGCATTAAGAAATTATTTAATTAATTACAGTTCAAAAGTTCTTTCTAATTCTTTCTAAAAGTTATTCTAATTTGCTGATTTGGTGCTCAAGAAACATTTCTTATTATTATTAATGTTCAAAAGTTTTTATTTGAAATATAATTTTTTTGTAGCGATATAAATGCCTTTGCTGTCACTTTTGACAAATTAATGTCAACCTTGTTGAATAAACATATTAATTAAAAAAAAACTAAAAACCTTGATTATTTTTGTTTGCAATTCTCAAGACAAGCCAATAGCAGACTGTATAAATAATAAATTATAATCTGAAATATTCTAAAAGAAATCATGTATACATTTTTCATTTATTATTTTCACCTATATTATAAAAAATATGAATTGAAAAAGATTAAACTAAATATGAGAACATTAGCATTATCTTGCATAAGCTTCGAATCTAATCCATTTAATTTTCAGTCGTGAGCAAAAAGGAACAGCAAGGGCACATGAACAAAAGGAGGCTTTCATTTGTGCATCTATAAGCACAAACACACGTTGTAATTGTTGGAATTGCTAATGAAGGGATCACAAGCCTTCGTTCACAGATTGAAGACCTCATTCACAATATCTGATTGTATATGTCTTTTGGTTCTGAGGTTTCCAGCGCAGCCCAGCTGCTTAACATGTTAATTATATTCACTAGACATGTGCAGAGCTGAGCCTGTTACAATGGTTCTCCCATACTACGATTTACCTGCTGGAAATTGAGCTCCATGCCTTCTGCTTTCTCCCGCGGTTTGATGGACAGCACACATTCACCTAGAACGAGAAAAAGTTGGGCTTAAGCATTTCAAAAACACTTCAGCTTTCTGCCAAAGGTTGTGTGATTTGAGAAGTGTCACCTTTTCATGTCAAACATATTTGTATTGTTTGTGAAAGCACTTCTTGTTTATCTCCCCATCACTCAGCAACATAACATGTTTATCTTTCTAGCTATGACCTAATAAGAGAGGTGATATACAGTGGCTCCAAAAAATATTTGGACACTTAAGCCACACTTAAAATATCATTGTATTAGAGAAATGTAAGTACGTAAATATAAATACTATGCTAGTGACACCACTTGGTTAATAGGAATTTTAAAAAATGGATAAGAAAAGTTAAGAGATTTTTTTTTTACAGTTTGAATTTTGTTATTTAATGCAATGCAGTGACATTCATGTATGTGACTTCAATGTGCAAACGTTTCCAAATACATTTTTGGGACACTGTAAAAGAAAACCTACACCCATAGCTGATCAAGAGTGGTAGTTAAAGGAATAGTTCACCCAAACATGAACATTTGCTGAAAATTTACTTAGGCCATTCAAAATATAGGTGAGTTTGTTTCTTCATGAGATGTAACAGATGTAGAGAAATCTAACATTACATCACTTGCTCACCAATGGATCCTTTGCAGTGGATGGGTGCCGTCAGAATGAGAGTCCAAACAGGTGATAAAAACATCACAATAATCCACACAACTCCAGTGAAGCAAAAAGCTGCATGTTTGTAATAAACAAATCCATCATTAAAGTGCCCCTATTATGGGTAATGAAAGGTTCATATTTTGGTTTTGGGAGTCCCCAACAACAGGTTGACATGTATGCAAGGTATATAAAAATAAAAAAAGCAGTCATTGTCTTATAATATGCATTTATTTTTACCTTACTTGCTCAACGACTCCCAAACGATTCGCTCAACGATT